CTATTTGTCCAACAAAACGTTCTAGTACCATCGCATGATGGCGAAGCATTGGCTCACACGGAAGAATCTCTAACTCGCACGGATCTTCGTACTTCTACTTGAAAGCATTTACGTGTGTTCATGAAGGTGTATTCTGTGAATCCCGAGAAGGGGGTGGCATCTGCTAGACGGTGGGAATAGTTCGATGTCGATACCTCCATTTTCCTACCGTGAAAAGTGAATATAGTTCCCGTGGCCATTCTGTTTATTAATAGTACTATAGTATTCAAGGCTAACTGTGAACTGACGTAAAAGTCCAATTTACGGTTACAAGTGTAACTGGGAGGTGCTCGATCCATTTTAACGTTCATCGGAATTAGCCAATCAATTCATTCCAAGAAATGTCAAAAGGCTTTACAAAGATTCAGATTAAAATTATGCACCTTAAATTCGACAGATTTCCGGGCATCTATTGATCGTTTACTATAGGTCAACTAACATCCTTCTAGCTAATTGCATACAGTAAGTGCACACGAATATAGCAGTCGACGCCAAGCGTAACTATCTTGCTCGGATATTTGCCCATTTTGAAAGCCAAAGCTCTCGAACACGTTTCACCTGAAATCCTCCCTCTAACCGCTTGCAATGTCCGATTCTTCATGGCTACTGGTAGTCAATACTAGTAGTATACGTATGGGCGCAGTTCTTCCGTGACACTTTTTGGGACCCTTCGATGGAGGGGTTCCTTTACTCCTAATTGCTATTATAATAGTGTTTCTTAAAGAGGAGAATGAATGCAGTTCGTAGAACTTAAAATCATGTCGAAATTCGTATTATTGTTGATGGAAAATGAATTAAAAGAGTGGAAAGATCCATAGGCTGAAAACAGTTCCGAGCCACTTAATTTTATCCAGTTACTCCGGAGTATCTGTCAAAAATTGCATCTGATTAGCTGAAAATTTCAGAGTGATTGTTTTCTACCAATCATGCATCGTGGCTACCAATCATGCATCGTGGCACGGAACCAATACGTATACTAACAGTAAACTGCGAAGGTACTTCAGTGTCTACAAGGTTAATTGACTCGAAAAGATATTCACACCACCAACCCCAAGTCTTGGCCACAGGAACATTATTTTATGTTGGATTCAAACTCTCCAATGCAAACTATACGTATATCTAATCTACCTATTAGTTATCTAATCTACCTATTAGTATACTATTAATACTTCTGCTACAGAGTGCAGTACATTCAGCATTGAAAGTCCATTCCTCGATAACTATCATAAAGGCGTGTTCGGAGCGACAATAAACCAATCCTTAAAGTACATGAACGTACAGGATTGGTTTACTGGTCGTAGCTGTATTGTACATATTTCATCACCTAATCTGTATGAAATACGACAGAACCATTCAACGCATGCAGCCTCCAAAACAAATGGATATGCATCGAGTTATTGTATTTTTTTAAATATATATTACAAAGGTATGCATCGGGTTCTTGTATATTTTTTAAAAATATATACATACACGATGCTACATCCTTCTTAGGTGGAGTACACGGGCTTGACTTCAGACGTCAATTCAGTATACTTGACGTTTTCCTTCTTGGTTTTCTGGGTGGCGACATATCGCCAGCCAAGCACACCCACGACCACCACCGCCACCCCACCCAGGGCCCACCACAAGTACACCAAATTCGCCTGGCTAGTACTACTAGTCACCGGCGCCGTCAAGTCGGCGCCACTCAAATACTCGAGGGCGTCCTTGGGGTACGCAAACGAGTCGCACGCCACTTGACCGTACACAAAACACTCAAACAAGTACAATGCATGCAGCGGTCTTGTGGCTGGCACCATGTGGCCGGCGCCCTTGATGGTCGTAAACGTCAAGTTAGTGTACCGTTCAGTGTACCCCGCCAGTTGTTTGTCCGGGCCAAACCAGGCTTTCCACTTGTCTTGCACTGGAAGCTTCAGACCCTCCGACGTAATCCACCGCTGGGTGCCGATAAAGTTGACCACCGAGTCAGCATCCCCGCTGTAAATGAGCCCTTTCAAGCCGGCGTTGAGGATAACGGGGTACTTCTGGAGCGCCGACGGGGCGCGATGGTAGTTGAGGTCGGTGCACTCGGTCCAGTCGACGTGCCCACCTTGGACGTGAATAGCTTGTTGCACAGAGTTCAGTTGTAGGTATGTCGCCGCGTACTGGTCTTGGCAAGGGCCATACTATTTAGACACCAACTAGTGTTAGCGTTGCATTATACTAGGACAAGAACGAGAGATTTCCTAGCAGATCGAGCATAGGCAATAATATGGATCAACGGTTTTGTGGTCCGATGTGGGATTGAAAGGGACATCCATCTTATGTTCACAATCGTAGTTACTAGATCCGGAGATATTTGGATTAAAATGAACGCATCATAATATCAAAATAATCGCCAACATATCGTTCAATACGATAGAAATATACATGTAGAAAATACTAGCCTTGTGGATATTCGATACAAATTGCCAGACCCCGTCGAATCACAAACATCGACGGTATGTCGGCGAATACTCCATTTTTTTAGCGGATTTGTGATTGGCTCTTCCAGAATAATCCAACCAATCAGAACTCGAGCGTGACTCAATATTATTCCTGAAATCTCTTGGAACTTTATACGCGAATTCACAATACTCGAATACAAACGATATACAAAACACAAATGTAGGACAACTTACCACGCCTCGATGGGTATTAGGGCGAATATTATAGTCTTGCAGGGCGCCAGCTTGGCCATTCTTTAGTAAACACACATCTCCGTAGATGTAGTACGGGTTAAGGGACTCCAAGTCGGCAGTGGCAACTGTTTCGTCGACGGCTTGGCGGCAGGATGCAGTGCAGTTGGGGCCGCTGCGGGTGCACTGCCAGAGGACATCCGGAGGACACGCCGAGTTTACCGCGCGGTAGCTTTCGATTGAGATGAGTCCATGGGAGTAGAAAAAGTCGACTTTTGCGCCGCCTACGATATAATGTATACACACCAAACAACGGGTGAGTCACGGTCGAGAAGATAGGTACACTGTACCATCCACTTTGGAGTCTGTAAACGGATTGCCAATAGCGTATCCGACCAGGTTGAGCGCCGCAATCGGATGCTGGACGAGTTTGTACGTCAAGTACGGAATGTACACGCCGGAGTAGCTCTCGCCCGTGATGTAAAACTCGCGGGTCTTGTATCGAGGGTACAGCGCCAGAAATTGCTCGAGAAACTCGTACGCTCGGTCGGCTGTAAAGTCGTCGTTGTACACTGTGTCGTTTACACTCTGGCTAAAGCCGACACCCGCTGGAGACTCCAAGAACACCATATTGGCCTTGCGGTTCCACGCGTACGGATTGCGCTTGACGCTCAAGTCACTCTGGACGACAAATGGACCCAATTCGGTGAAGAAGCCAGTCAGAGACGAGCAGCCAGGGCCTCCATTGAGCCACAGCACCAGCGGGTCCGTGGATGGATTGGACTCGGACTCCACGAGCCAGTAAAACATCTTTTGGCCGTTGCTGGGCAGCGGAATGTGGCCGGCATACTGGTCAAAGTTGATGGGCTTGGCGTCGTTGTAGTTGGGAAGAGACGTGATCTGGTGGGAAGAGCTCGAGTTGGCGTCTCCAGAAACAATAGCTACCGCGAACGCACCCAACAAGGCGGCGTTCCGTTGAATCCAACTCACCATGATGACTGATATCGCGAAATGAGTCTTTATTGTTTGGTGGTCATATGGTGCTAGTACTACTACAGTCGGGATAGTGCCATACTAGTTGTCATCCGTGGAATGATGGGGATACTCATAGTAGTAGCCTCGAGTTCAATAGAAGTACCAGTAGTACCCACCTTTATTATCAACTTCAATGTGGTGGCGGCCAATGGCATGTCACTATTTTCGTATAGGCTTTAAAAATAAGTTCACGAAAAGCTAAGAGAGGATGGTTTTGTTCCTGCTTTTAGGCGTTCACGCTTTTATAAACCCAATTTCATTGGCTAGAATTATCCGTATTCCGTATATTGTAATCCTGCTTTCATAGCTCCAAAAATTGAATTTCGAAGTACGACGGAAACGATTCTGATTGGCTCCGTTCGTTTTGAAAGGTTACTTGGAAGAGGCCCTACTGTATTGTATACCGGTTACGCTTTGGGCGCTGTCTTCTTATCCAAGTGATAATACTATGTTCACCTAATTTGGACAGGGAGTTTATTGGAGAAATCGACTTGAAGCACATTTTAATACCGTGAATTACTTGAAAGAGGCCCTACTGTACAGGTGATCGGTCTTTTGCGGGTGTTGACAATACACAAGTACTGTACTACCTCCGATTGGAAATGATTGATAGGTTTACCGGTTACGTACAATTATTATTATATTATACAGGCACTTTTATATTTGCTGTACCGCATATCTCCACCTAAACCTCTATAACCAGATAAGTTCAGGTGAAATTAGATATAGGTTTACAGAAATTATACAGAAGCACAGTGAAAATTGATCATCATTCCTGATCAATTTTGACCATAACTTCTAAGATATTCTAATTAGGACTCTCTAAGCATTAAAATCGGATTTCTAGTGAAATTCTCTACTTGGAAGTACAGTAGTCCCCCACAATACCGAACCCACGTAAAGTCGATATCCTTTCCAAATGTATAAAATTCCAAAAGACTCATACATCCGTTTATAGAGTTTTTTTCAAAATTTGAAATAGTCCACAACACATGATAAACAAGTATTTACTTACTCAAATCATGCCGTCGCCACAGCCGTCGAGGCTACGGCTGACGAACAAAAATCAACATTGCTCGAGCACCATGAGTCCAATCCAACGCTACGAGGCCTCCGCCTGCGCCAATGGGCGCTCGCGGCTTTCCAGCTGCCCAAACTACCTGCCAAGTCAACTATGTCGGGTTGGCTTACCGCATACTGCATACTGGAATACTTGACGAAGTAGTATACGAATTGACTAATAGTTTTAATAACTTGTAATGTGATGGGTTTTGTCTTCTGGAGTTTGCCAGGGTATCAACCCCCGCCAGGGTATCAACCCCCTCCTGAATTCGAATATGTTATCCATTTTCCAATCAGGGCACTTTCGTTGTCGTGGTCTGACAAAACATATGGATTATTCTGACCAATCAGAGACTTGGTACCCAAGCAAATATCCTGTAGCATTTTATACCTCTTAGTCCTGTGATACCTCTAATATCGGATTGCGATCAAAGGTTCGCTATTGTGGGGGTCAAGGCAATAACCTATTTTGACTGAGATACAGTTGTTCATGGCTCAATAATGTGAAACCTATCAATCATTTTCGGAGGTTAGTATGTCCAAATATTAATATTCCGTTCGGACAAAATACGTTTCCCTTAAGTCCAATACAAATGTCAAGTATGTCCGACTGAAATTGTCCGAACGGTGTCCGCAAAGTGATCATATTCACCCATACTATTGTCCTTTTCATTCAAATTTGGACTGGGCAGTTTACATGAGAAATTGACTCAAAGCACATTTGTATACCATTTAAAAATTGAATATAAATAGTTCAACTGGGACAAATGGGCGAAAGCCTTGGGCCGGACTACCATTGGTTGGGATTTAGGATTGAAGAAATTTCATTGGCTAGTCGATTGTTTGCGTTTGGGCTGCCGCAATTCGATCGGACTACCCACATCCTAGCGTGTTAACTGTACCAATACGATAACTAACAGGAAGCTCAATCGCACTGGTACCAGTAAGTATTGTACCTCGAAGTACACTATTAATAGTACTACGTACGTACTAGTAGAGGAACTATTCAAGCTCGATCCGCTAGATTAGTCTAGTTCGTGGGCGATGCTGATATGCGCGCGCTCGTGCGATAGAGCTTGTAAATTCCGCGAAATTTCATTTCATTTCAGTAGAGGAACTATTAATAGTAATAGTTAATGTCGTCAATCATACTAGTATATTTCAACGTTTCGGCGGCAGTCCTCTAAGCTCGTATCTGGATGGATTCGTCCGTCAACCACTGCACAATACTAGGTACGCTTAGTACAATTCTTGTCTTCATAGTGTATGTCTACTATGTACTACTTACTACTACTGATGGGTTTACTTTCCAATTCCGTGTACGAACTACTTTGAGTAAAGTGGTGCACATATCCCCGCCAGCCCAAGAGAGCCACCCCGACCAGCGCCGCGAGGCTGCCAATCATCCACCACACATTCGCGCTGCTATCAACCACCGCAGTTGTCGTCGCCCCCATATCGGCGCCACTCAGGTACTCCAGCGCGTCTTTCGGGTACTTGAACGATTGACACTGTCGATTCCCATACAAAAAGCACTCAAACAGGTGCAATGCATGGAGCGGACGGTGCGCTGGCACCATGTGGCCGGCGCCCTTGACCGTCTTAAACGTCAAGTTGGTGTACCGTACAGTGTACCCCGCCAGTTGCTTGTCTGGGCCAAACCAGGCCTGCCACTTCTCCACCACAGTCAGATTGAGGCCTTCGTCCGTGAGCCAGCGCTGGGTGCCGATGAAATTCACACTCGAGTCGGCATCCCCGCTGTAAATGAGCCCTTTCAAGCCAGCTTGAAGGATCGTGGGGTACTTGTCCAAAGCCGATTCGCTGCGTGTGTAGTGATGCGACACCGTGGCACTGGAGCATGCGGTCCATTCGATTACATCTGAGATAACGTGGATGGCGGCTTGAACGGTCGGGAGTTGCAAGTACGAGGCAGTGTATACATCTTGGCACGGCCCAACCTACAAATTCGATTGGGGTGTTGTGTTTAATGCGACATGGAGAATGAATGTACACAAAATCGGCAGAAGAATTGAGCCAATCAGATTGCTGGAAACCGTCATCCACGTTTAATTAGAGTGTGACTTCAATTAGTGTGATCGATCGATAGATTTCAAATAATCGCAAACCTTACCAATTTAACTGTAAACAGTTTGTGATGACCCAATATCTTTAACCAAGTACCAGTTCCATGTTATAGAGGTTTAATCAAGTTACATGTATAAGTTCAATAGAGGATTGATTTTGGCCAATGAAATGGATTGAGATTTTGATTGGATGAAAAAGTCGGCCCATCATTGGTCAGGGACGAGAATTCGTCGTAGGGTTAATAGATAAAAAAACACAACAACAAGGAGTAAGTAGCTCGTACCAGGCCACGATGGGTCAGGGGTCGGATATTTTTGTTGGGGATCAACGTTTTTGATTGGTTGTTGCTCTGCAACTTGCACACATCACCGTAAATGTAGTACTGGCTCAGCGCGTTCGAGTTGCCCCATTCTGACATGGAAAAACCAGCCTCAAGGGCACTTTTGCAATCGGAATTGCATTCGCCAGTGCCTACCGTTCAAAACGAAAATAATTATTTTTCTGTAAAAAAATATTTCTATTTTACTGGTAACCCACCGTAGAAGCAGTTGGCGACGCCAATGTCGCCGCATACTTGGCGGCCGAGGTTATACGCTTCGATGGAAATCATCCCGTGCGAGTAGAAGTAATCCATGTACGCCGACGCTAAAGTACAGAAAAACCATGTTGTGAACGAACGATGCACATCCAAAATTACAATACACTTTGGCACTTTAAATATCTATAATAGAAGAGTCCACATGATAAAATATGTCCATAACATTGCCATGTTGAAGAAAAAAGTCAAATGAATGGCTAACACAGTAAAAATATTGTCAAACCAGTACAGAAACAGGTAACCAGACATCAAACATATGAACAATTGTATCACTTTGGAATTTTATTTTCATTCAAGGGTCAAGTGGATGTGAATAAATTCTAAAAAAATCAGTTTGCATAAAATAAATCAATGCAAAAATTGATATAAATCACTGTAAATTGTAAAGAAATCTGTAACATCGCCAAATTCATCAAAACAGCAAATAAAGGTATAAAAAATCTCGTAAAACTAATACAATGACAGGTATCAATCCTCACACAATAATCTCATTTCCCATGTGTTTGAGTTTGTACCGTCAATGACGTTGTCCGTGAAGGGGTTGCCAATGGTAAACCCGGTCAACGACAAGTTTGCAATCGGACTGGTCACCAGTTTGTGCACCAGGAACGGAATGTAAATCCCAGCGTAGCTCTCGCCCGTGATGTAAAACTCGCGGTTCTTGTATCGAGGGTACAATTCGAGAAATTGTTCGAGAAACTCGTACGCTCGGTCGGTGGTAAAGTTGTCGTTGTAGTCAGTGTCATTCAGAACAGGCTGGCTGAAGCCGACACCCGCTGGAGACTCCAAGAACACCATGTTGGCCTTGCGGTTCCACGCGTACGGATTGCGCTTGACGCTCAAGTCACTCTGGACGACAAATGGACCCAACTCGGTGAAGAAGCCACCGAGAGACGAGCAGCCAGGGCCGC